AAAAAAAAATTAGAATATTTGTGACTTCTCAATGTGGGGAACACTTAAAATGAAAGAAAAAGCTGCAAACCATATGGAAAAGACTCAGATTTTAACATTTTGAAAGGGGCAAAATGTTCTCTTTGATAGAAGATAAAGTCAAAATACAAATGATAAACTGGGAGAAAACTTTTGCTAGTCAGTCAAAGGATTATTAATTAACCCTAATATAGGAAAGTTCATTCAAATTAGAAGAGCCCACAAGAACATTGAACAAAGGACGTAAACAGGCATGCACAAAAATATGTGGGACCCCCGACCCCGAAAAATATGAAAAGGATGCCAAGCCTCACAAATGCAAATTAAAACAATGAAATACAACTTTTTACCCATCGCATTAGCAAAAACAAAAAAAGATTTAAGAACATCCTGTGCTGGCAACAGTGTAAAGAAATAAATCTCATCTAATTAGCAAGGGTGAAAGTGCTGGATTCGTTTTGGGAAGAATCTAGTGTATCTGTTAAACTGAAGATGTTTATACTCTTTAATTTAGTAGTTCTCCTTTTTTATCCTACAGAAGTAAAACCATTAATAGATGAGGAAGCATATCAGCATAGTTTGTAGTTTTAAAAAATTATATTTTAATAGCATTGTTTGTAATTTATGAAGGAAATAGAAATAATATGTTCCATCAGTGGGGTATATATACCCACGGAATATAATGCAACTTACAAGAAAACCAATTTAGCCTATATAGATTGACCTGGAAAGATGTCTGTGATATATTGAGTGGTTACAGTGGTTGGTTCCCATTCTTGTTAAAGAAGGAAGGAGAAGTTCCATACTATACATATGCATTTATAGCTAGTGTAAGCATGTGTAAGGACATACATGGAAGGGCTGTCGTGGTTAACAACAGAACCACACAATTCGTGTAGGGCAGGGGTCAGCAAACTTTTGAGACGGAAGAGCCGCCGGGGGTCAGCAAACTGGCTCGCAAGCCACATGTGGCTCTTTGGGTACGTACATGTGGCTCTGAAGTAAAATTGCAAATGAAAATAAAACTCATAGTTTCATTTATAATATTACTTTAAATTTTCCTTATTTGTAAAAATATATTTATGGCTCTCGAATAATTTTTAAATTGTTGTGAGGGTCAGGATTGGCTCTTTCAGGGGTCAGCAAACTTGAGACGGAACATACCCAAAATCCGCATGTGGCTCGCCAGCTGCGGTTTGCCAACGCCTGGTGTAGGGGAAGGGGCTGTTCCCAGGGAAGCTGGGGAACAGACACACAGTGTCCACTACAAAACTCTTTTAAATTGATGAGTAGGAGCGGGAGTCATTTTGAAGCCAATGAGACTGTGTATGTATTCTTTCTATAATTTCAGTTGCCTCTGACTTTTGAGGATATTGCCGTTTACTTCTCAGAGCAAGAATGGTGGACTCTAGAGGCCTGGCAGAAGGAGCTTTACAAGCACGTAATGAGAACCAATTATGAGATTCTGGTTTCTCTAGGTGAGACGTGTTCGACTGTGGGTAAGTCATGGAACTTGGTCCTGTAAGAGGGGCCAGCTCTTGTTGTTCCTGTTTGTCAAGTAGCCAGATTTCTCAGAAATTAATCCAGAAAGGCATTTTTTACCCCATATTCTTTTTTAAAATACTTCTGTAAGCATTGCTAATCCTTACTCAAGGGTAGATAGACATTGTTACGTGAGATTATTTGAGACGGCAAGTAACATAAGGTGGTTAGAGGTGACTAAACATATGGCAGGGCATTTAGTCACTATATACTCTCAAGTAGCCAGGATTTTCCCCATAGGCACACACTTACCTCATATCCATGAAGTACCCCGTATATTTTAACCTAGGATGCCCCTACCTGTCAACTTTTACAATGGTGTCCATATGCCTAGGAAAAGCTAATGTTATTGTCCCGTGCAGTGAGCTTGGGGAAAGCTGTCCGCTGAGCTGTTACCCAGCAGCTGTCGCTGTCTCTGCCTAGTTATGGTAATGGGTGTTCTTTTAAGTCTTTTTGTTTACTGGATCTTTATATATTTTTTTGTTATCAAATATGTTTGGTTTTTTTTTAAATCAGTCCTTTCAGAGAAGTATCGAATAAGTGTCTTGCTTTGTTCTTACTCCCTCACTCGATTAATTCCCCAAAGGCAACCACTTTTCACCATTTCTATTTTAGCTCTTACTGTGGTTTCCTTCAATCTATATAACTATCATGCTTATACCTCTATTTTTTTATTTTTCAAGTTTAGGCAGCATTAATTAACTCATTACTATGAAAAATGAGCCATTAGCTCTCTTATGCTATCCCTATTCTTTCTCTTTTTTCCTCTTCTCCCCAAATTTTGATAGTTTTTTTTATGCCTCTATTGACTACCTTTATAATTTAAATAATAAACTTCTAAATTCTGTTGCATCAACTTCATATTTTATCTCTTGACTGCTTAAGTATATAAAGATGAGGTAATTAGGGTGGCCAGTTAGTTCAGGTGGCTAGAGCTCAGGCTCATAACACCAAGGTTGCCAGTTTGATTCCCACATGGGCCAAGGAGATGTGCCCTCCACAACTAGATTGACGACAACTACTTGACTTGGAGCTGATGGGTCCTGGAAAAACACACTGTTCCCCAATACAATTTCTAAAAAANCCGCAAGACAGTGCGGGGATCCGAGGGACCCGTGCGCACCTACCTCGCACGCTGCTCCTCTCGGCCGCAGGGGGCGCTGTGAGCGGCGCTGCCCCGGGCCCGGCTAGCCGCGACTCCCAGCGTGCACCGCGCCGGGGCGTGGCCTGCGGGTCGGGGCGGAGAGCGAAGCTGCTCGCGGCGGGGGAGGCGCCTCGGGACGGCCGCCGGGGCCGGGCGGAGCCGCGAAGAGCCATGGCCCAGCCGGCTCCGGTAAGAGGGGCCTTCTGCGTGGAGCCCCACGTTCGGGACCGGTCTTCGGGTTCCAGTTTGAGGGACAGGCGTTCTGGGGTCCCAGCGGGGCGGCGGTGGACAGGTTGGGCGGAGTCTGAGGGTCGCTTCAGGCTCCGAGAATGGGGTCCCGCCCTGGACGGAGCTGGTGACCGCCGCTCCTGGGGCTTGTCGGTGGCCACACACCTGAACAAAGCCGAGCGTGGGGAGGGCCGACCCAGGGGCAGGCCCTACCTGGGCGCCCAGGCGGGGGGTGGACGAGGAAAGGGACAGAAACAGGTTTGGGGCCGACGGTGGGTGTTAGAGAGTTCAACCAGCTTTACATCACAGTTACTGAATTCAGAACGAGTTTTTTTAAAAGATTAAGACTCTGAATGGTCGAAATGATGTTTGGCAGGGCCTTAAATGTCAGAATTCAGCCGCGAACGTGTCCAAGTTTGTGTTGAGTGTAAGAAGGAAGGATGGTGATAACGTTGAAAGGAATAGAAGAGGATATAAAAACCTAGAGTACATATTATTTGATTAGTGTTTTGTTGAAATCGAGGGTTAGAGGGAGTGGTCATTATTTTTATTATGTTTCTCTATGTAAGCGTCCATATTGTGCATTTTTGCTCTTTGCCAAGTGAGTTCATGAGACACAATACCGTTAACAATCTCAACAGAAGACATAATTTTTAGGATTAAACACTCGTATGCAAAAGATATGTAGTATCTTTATAGAGAAAATGATAAATAAACGAGAGATACACCGTTCCTATAGATGGGAAGACTAAAATATAGTAAAGATGATACTTTTCTTCCAGGGAATGCATAAATTTACTGCAGTTTCATCAAAATGGCAGGAAGATTTTGGTGAATTTAGATGAACAGATTCCAAATTTCACTTGGAAAA